ATCTGGGTTGGAAGTTGTTTTCTTTCAGTACCTGAAGTACTTCACTCCAAGCTTTTCTCTCCTTGATGGTTTGTATTGAGAAGTCTGCCGTGATTCTGATACACTTTCCTTTATAGGTGATCTGTTTCTTTTCTCTAACAGCTTTTAATATTTTGAGCTTTTGTTGAATTTCCAGGATCTTGATCACTATATATTTAGGGGTAGGTTTTTTTTGGTTATGATTAACTGGAGTTCTATATGCTTCACTCCTCTGGATTTCTGATTCTTTTACCCTGCCTGGGAAATTTTCTGCTATTATTTCTTCAAATAGTCTTTTTATGTCACTTGTGTTGACACCTGCTATTGCATTAATACCTATTAATCTGACATTGTTTCTCTTCACTTCGTCTTGCAGTTGTTGAATTGTTATTTCCTGGTTCCTTGTTGTTTTTAAGAGATCCCTCCTTTCACTTTCATTGGTGGCAATGCTGTCTTCAAGGTTTGAAAGTCTATCTTCAGCTTTGTTGAGGCGGTTTTGCAAGCTTTCAATGGAATTTTTAAGTTCCTGGATATCTGTTTGCATGTGTTTCGTATCTTCTCAGTCTTTTCTATATTGTTCCCTGAAGGTTTCATTGAGTTGTCTATGCTCTTCTATTTTCTTGTCTATGTCATCTTTGGATATGCTGAACATTTCTTTCATTATTGTTATCATTTCTTTTCTCACCTGAGACATTATTTCTGATTTGATGTCTTCTATGGCCTGATGGAGTTGTTTCTTTACTTCAGTTGCTATCACTTCACAAATTTCAGGTGTATGACTTCCAGGCTGTTATGTGTTGATGCCTCCTGGACTTGTTTTGGGTGGTGTGGAGGTCTGGGATTGCATTTTGCTCCTTCATTTTGTCATTTTTGAAAAACCAGAGACTCCCTGTAGTGCAGTCTCACTCTCCTGATTGTGTGTGAGTGGCAGGGCGAGATTCTGAAGATCCCCATTGCTCAGGGCAATTCCTGTGCTGCTGAGTGGTGGCAAGGTGGGGTCCCAGATGCTCCGGACATTTCTTGCATTCTGTTGGCCCCCAGGAGTGTGTGGGAAGGGTGGGAGAGGCTTGGGGGCATTCCTGAGGCTGTCTGGGATTCAGCCCAGCTTCCACAAGCATAGTGGGGAATGCAGGTCGAGTTTACCAGGGCTTTAGATACTGCCCAGGACAGAGCTTGCTTCCCACACTGGAAGGGGAGGGGTGAGAGTGAGCTCCCCGAGGCCACTGACTATGTTCAGCTTTCAGCTGAGCTACCAGGGGGATGTGAGTTGTTCTGGCAGTGACCACCAAGGCCCCAGAAGTTGTCCAGGGATCCACGTGCCTCACACCCCAGTGGGGGAGGCACCAGAGTGGCTCACCGGGTTCCTAAAGGTGTCTGACGTTTGGCCCAGCCCCGGAAGACACACTATGGGTGTGGTGGGTAGCCACCGAGGCTCCAGAGTGTGCCCGAGGTTTCGCCTGCCTTGCACACTGATCAGGGATGCAAAGCTGTGACTCACCAGGCTTCCTGAAGATGTCCGGAGTTCAGCCCAGCCTGGGGCGACACACTATAGGTGTGGCAGGTAGCCACTGAGGCCCCAGAGGGTGTCCGAGGTTTCACCTGCCTTGCACGCTGGTCAGGGAGGCAGAGCCCAGACTCACTGGGCTTCCCGCAGATATCCAGAGTTCAGCTCAGCCTCTGTAATTTTAAAACATTAAATTTTCACTATATTTTCTGATCACCCGTTGTGCGCTATGTCATTTAATCTTACAATAAACTAGAAGGTAACTGCCATTATTCTGGCTTTGTAGGAAAGGAAGACGAGGTTTGCACTGTTATTCTCCATGTCTGGAAACAGGTAGAACCAGGACTAGAAATCAGGTCTTGCTCTAAGGCTGGGCCCACTCACCTCCACCTGGCTGGTTCTGCTATTTCACTCCTCTTTGTGTCTCTGTGCTTTTCGGAAACATCCTGGCACTGGTCTTGTTTGTAGTTAAAGACTGCCCTCTGAGCTACTTGAAAGTGTTTTTGAAGAGGTCCATCACCTTCCTAACTCCCCAAGAGGCTGGAAACAACTATTTGGGTCATCTGAGAAAGGATGCTTACATTTACAGTCAGAGTACAGATCCAAAAAAGCACAGATTGCAGAACTTGCTGCTAGTAAAGTGCATTTGTTTTTTGTTTCTCAGGCTGGGGATATAGCTCAGCGGCATAAGCACTTGCCTAGCAAGCCTGAGGTCATAAGTTCGATTCCCGATACCAAAAAAACAAAACAAACAAAGATTTTTTATTTGTAAGTGTGTCTCGTTTCTGTTTGGCTCAAACCAGGCAGCAGAAGCTGCCACAGAATGTGCTGTAAGATGTTACTGATAGCCGTTTGCTAGTCACAGCTAAAGTCTTGTTTTCAGGCCTTAGTTTCTGGGCAATTGATTCAGATGTATTTGATGTAGAAGAGTTTTCATTTTCTGAATGTGGGGTTGAGATTATTAGCAATTGAGGAAATTAAGCCATGGGAAGGGGAAAAATTGCCATCTAGCATTACTTTCTACACCCACTTCTATGAGTTTGATGACTTGGTAACCACTTAAGGAGTACAGGCTAGGTCTGCTTGGAGTCAAAAGATTCTTATGCCTACAAGCTGGGCCTAGCAGCTCGTAGGAGGTCCTGGAAGTATAGCATCTCATAAAGGACCAACACCTTAACACTTCCCTGGCTTCCATGCTTTTAAGCTTTTCCAGCTCTTTTTACTTTTCTGGCCTCTTCTTTCCACAGTTTTCAGTTGTGGGCATTCACATGAACTGATCTTCACAGCTTCGTCTTTTTTTTTTTTAATCTGTCCTTGACTTCTTACCCAAAAAACAGTCACTGAACATCTTTCTCCAACTAGTGCTTCTTCTCATTGTTGGTTCAAAGACCCGTTCTTCCAAATAAGAAACATACCCCCTGTGACAGGCTCAGATCAGTTAATTTGATTGGTTTGTTCTTCTCCCCAAGATAGCCATCTAGTCAATGAAAAGAATGTAATCCTTTTAAAAATTTTTATGGGCACACGCTTGCAGTACCTAATGATTACGTTCCTTGTGGGGAGTTGGTACATGTACATAGTGCATCTCATTTATTTCATGATGCTCCTCTCCCTTCCCTCCTCTTCCTTCATCTCCTGGTCCCCTTCCTTTTTGCATAGGACCTGTCTCCTTATTTCCTATTACCTTTTATTTTGCTCCTTATTTATAATTTGGATTTCTCATATCAGAGAAACTATGAAATATTTAACCTTGTGTGTCTGATTTATTTCACTTAGCATTATGGTCTCAAGGTACATCCATTTTCCTACAAATGACTCAAGTTTATCTTTCTGTATGGCTGAGGCATACTCCATTGTATAAATATCACATTTTTTTTTTTTATCCAGTCATCTGTGGATGGACATTTAGGCCACTTCCAAAATTTTAGCTATGATGAGCTGTGCTGCTATAAACACAGGTATGCATGTATCACTGTAAAATGAGGTCTTCAACTCTTTTGGCAAGATATCTAGAAGGGGAATAGCTGGGTCAAATGGAATTTCTAGTTTTAGTTTTTGAGGAATCTCCATAGTGGTTGCACTAGTTTACATTCCCACTAACAATGTAGAAGCACCCCTCCTCCAGCATTTGTTACTGTTTGATTTGTTGAAAATACCCCCAAAAGAACGAAATCTTGCTTCAAAGAATTGGTATCTTTCTTCATGGTATTTGGTATCTTCTAAGATATGATATGTTTCTATTTCTTTCTGTCTCTTTTATCCCAACCTCATGTCATTCCTTCCTGCAACTATCCCAGATTGTCTCCTTACCTCACAGGGCTACGGGGAGGTTAGTTGAAATGCTCTGAGCAAATACATGTTGAGTATTTAAATTGACTGTACTGAGGATTTTACAATTGTTACTCTATTCAGTCATCACAACCATTCTGGGAGACTTGTTGCTGTTGGTTGTCTTAAAATAGAAGAGTTTTAGAAAAGTTAGGTGACTTACCTAAGGTCACACAGAGGCAGTGGCTGAGCTGTGCCTGTTTTATTCTAGAGTTAATGCGTATAAACTCGGTTGCCTCCCAGGTTACAGCATGATACCAAGGAAAGGGGAGTGGAATATGTTGATTTACCTTCCTTCTTTCCTTCTTCTTCTAGGTGAGCCAGTAAATCTGTGGTTCTTTTCTTGCCAATAGGATGAAGTCTCAGCTCCTAAGTAGCTGCACAGGGCTTACAGTGAGTAGTAAAAGGACTCTGAGGTGGAAGTCAATTCTACCGACTTTTCTCCTAAATTTATTCTGTAACACTGAGCAAGTCATTCAGAAGAGGACCAGAGTTTTCTCATCAGCCAAATGAAAGATCTGGTTGACAATTTTTCCACCCTTCCCAGGCCTGCATCTTAGTGATTTTGTTTTCTGCCTTCCCCTTGTTTTCGTCCTTTCTAGTAAAAATCCCTCTGTTTACATCTTCCTCCCAAGCACTCAGACCTGGTGGGTCCCACTGGGCTCAGCCTCGCCTGCCCATTGCTGCCCTTCCCCTTCCTGCCCTGTCTCAGCACCACTTCCTCTCCAGGCTGTCTTTTCTCCCGTACAAACCTTGTCCTTCTTGCTGCCTCTTCAGGCATCTCCAGCACTGTGGTTTTCTCTTTGCCGGTCTCGTTTTCTTAAACAGGTAACATAACCTCAAGGGCTGGTGAGCTGCTCTTTCTTTTGAGTGCAGTTGAGTCCTGGGGTTAGCTGACTTTAGGTGGAGTAGGTACTTGATAAATAATTGTTAGCGAGTCTATTTTGGGCTCTATCTGGAGAGCAGAGGTTACTGAAGACCAGGGCCATGGGGACTCAGAACAGTTGGTCAGGGACACAAAAGCCAGAACTGACCGCAGAGATTAAGTTGCAGGCAAGCTAGTTCGGGAATCGACACAGTCCAGGGCGGAATCCTGGATTCCTGGCCTCCTGAGAAGGTAAGAGGTGTCGTGGCCTGACTCCTGCTCACACGGTGGGCAGCAGCTGCCCCCTACCTGGCTTCCTCTCAACTGAGCAGCGGAGCTACCCCACAAAGCCAAAAAGAAGTACCCTGGGACAAATTCTGGCAGGCCGGAGCAAAGGCCCAAGGACAGCCAATATAATCCAGCACAAGGAGGTGGGTGAGGAGTGTTGCTTAGCGCGGCCTGATGAAGAGGTGGGGCAGAATCAGAAACGTTTTCCCAGCGTCACATTTTTTGCCTCTACTAAGGCAGATAGCGGCGGCAGGAAGATTTGCGGCCACAGGACATTTGGCTCTGTAATTGGGGCTGTACAGTGTCGGTTTTGGCTCTTCTGCCGGCAAAGTGCCTAGCAGTTTATGGCCCAGCCCCAGCGTGTGGCGGAAGCACGGGGGCCTGGGAAGCGTTAGACAAAAGTGTGGTCACTTTCCACCCGGAAATTTCTCTTAAAAAAACCCACGCTAAGCAGACCCAACCTGGGTTTGGAGGACAGATCTGGAACCAGGATTAGCTGGGAACTGGCCCGGTGGGAAGGAAGACAAAATCAAAGGACGCAGGAGTCCAGCACGAGGTAAAACGGGGCCGGACACAGAACGCGGGAGGCTGCGGCCTTCCGAAGCCCCAGGGAGGCACGTCAGCGCGAGCCCCGGCAGCTCAGCCCGGCGCTCTCGCGGGCCGCCCGCGGCTGGAGGCGGGCTCTAGGGCCCCGCGGCG